TGACGTACAAGATAACGAATTGTCTACCTGTCATAGATCTGTCACTTCAACAAGGTCAGGTACAATCAGTACAAGACATCTCACGTGAGGGTGTATAATACATGGAAAGAGGCTGTAAGCGTCACTATGAAATTACTTTAACATGCAATAAATGCCAAGGCCAAATAGTCATCAAATTTAAGGGGGCTTCTTGGATTCTGGTGATCTTTAAGGGTTAAGGGACCACCTAAACAATTAATTGTTAACGGCTCGGCAATGACTCCTGATATTCCTCCTCAGTTTCAAACAGTTATTGGGGCTGTGGGGTAGCACAGCGGTTAAAGCATTTGATTGGCACTCCGAAGGCCCGGGTTCAATACCCCACATGGGTACATTATGTGATGCCCATTTCTGGTGTTCCCCCACCCTGACATTTCTGACATATTGCTAAAAGCAGCGTAACAAAACCAACTCACTCACTCAAGTACAGTTATTAAGGATATAAAATAAAATCACATTGTAAAGGCGATGAAATCCATCTAAGTCCACTATTCGGACATGAATGAAAACAAATACACCTCATTTAGTCAACACTTCCATTTCATTGATCTTATAGCGCAAGATGCTGATCTTCACACAGTTTCTATGTCGATAATCCATGAGAAAACAAAGACGCTTTGGACAAATCGAAATGATAATGTTCAAATATCACTAAAATAACACTGTTCACGTTAACCACTCCATGAAATACATACACTTTGCTCATGACTAGAACATGCATACAAGCATTTAAATGCAAGTTACCAGTACCACTAAGACAAAAAGAAGAAAGGTTATCACGAAACAATGTGTATGATGTAAGTATCACATTGCTTCATGTCGCATCCATGTCTTACACCCCATATAGCACCATGCCGCTACAAGATAAAATGGTTACGAGTTAATGATGAGACATAATCCAGCAACCCACCTTGGTTAGTGATAATGAATGGTTGTAAAATTCCTGGAAATTCAAGTGGAAATTCCACAGATTTCCAGGTGCCTCACCAAGATAACACTTATATCGAAGAAAATGCCATGTACACTGGATATGATTGCCTGTTTGTTGGAAGAGCAACATTGCAATTAGACGAAGCCTGTTCACTGTTACCACCAAAACTTAATAGAAAACCTGCTGTATATATCGTAGTTAGTACTTAGCGGAAATCAGCATTGTGTGCCTGGTCGTCTGATATTCTAAATATTCAGGCCCCAAATAAGTGATTGTTGCCTTAAAAAAAATGCATTAACTAATTCTGTCAATGTTGGTGGTATTAGTCAGTATTTGGTAACCTATTCTAAATAATAATACTTTTATAACAACTTGAGTTTATTTCAACTTTGACAACATGTATTTTGTATATTCTTTGTGGTGTCTTTAACCCTTTATTTGTGTATATCATTCATTTTAGTTTTTATTCGTATTTTAGTAAATTTAATTTGTACATTTTTAATGTTTAGTCTGTCATAATTCCAAAAGGAGTGGCTCATTTTAACATTATATATACTTTTAAGTAACATTTGAGGTAAGACAATAATATGCCATCTGTCTGTCTGTATTCCAGGGTTTGACATGACCATTATTCTGTTAGACAGAGACAAGTGCAAACTTAGCCGGTGGACCAGATGTGGACTACGTTAAGTATGACTAAGGGTGTCTACCACTGCATTCCATATGAACCACACCATGGTCATTAAATATAACTATGACTAGTTTGGCATCCAGCCATCCTGGTGGTACTGATATGTCATGCCAACCATATTTTATCAGATGAAAATACAGAAATACAAACAAAAACAAGCCCACTAAGATTACTGCACATGTCAATACAGCCTATATTGCACTTACAAAAGGCATATGGGAAAGAGGCCAATCAGTGTTTGAAATTGAGCATGAAAGTCAAAGTGTCTTTGGCTTTACACACACGCTACAAGTTCAAGATGTTTGGGATTCCAAGTCCCAAATTCTATAGCACTAATCCACCCTCGATTTTGACATTGCCAATCAGATAATACTCAAAAAAAATTAAAGAACACCCAGTGTTTTCAAATGATTATACTTAAGACAGATTAACTTCAGTAATATGAAACAAGAGTCACCAGAAGATCACAAATCCTCCCAGCCCCTACAAATCTGAAAGAACAAATCATCTGACAGCTACTTAAAGTCCAACTTGATATTTTTAGACTAAGTCCAAATCGTTTCCATGAAAATCTTGAAAAATATATATGCCCAAAATCTGTAAATAGCAAAAGGCACCACTTCAAGATCTCTTTGATATATCTGCCAAGTCTCGTAAAAAGATATTGAACGGTTTTCGAGTTGTGCTCCGGAAACGAAGCCCACCCCTCCCTTTTCAGACTAATGTTTCCATGGAAATAAAGAAAAAGAAAAATGACAAAAATATGTAAATAGCAAAAGGCATCACTTTAGGTTCTGTTTGAGATATCTACCAAGTTTTTGTTGAATAATATTGAATGGTTTTTGAGTTTTTTTCCTGAGTTATGCTCTGTAAACAAACTGATTACGGACAGACGGAGAGACAGACGAGACATCAACTATATCCCCCTGCATTACATGCCATGGGGATAAACAGGTGATCTTAACTTCATTTGAGTAGTGAAACAGAAGTGGACTAGTGGCTGTAGTGACAGACTCTTATGCCTGTACACAGAAATTGAACTTAGGGTGAACATCAATGTTGCACATTTCTGAGGGGATTAAATACCACAGCAGAAAACCTCAAGAACCCCAAACCATTCTCAGTATTAAAAGTGCAAAACAAAATCAATTCTTTATTTACCTTTAGCTGTACAGCTAATCGATGGTGAACATAAAAATATACATTCTTAGTACAGACAGGATGGTTGGTTTGGTACAATATATAGGCATAAGGGGAATGTACAAACACATATTACAATAAATTTAGTCTTAACTTTGAAGCCTTGAATAGACATGAAAACATTTTCAGGTCTGACCAAACAACCTGCCCTTATTTCTAACCCTGGCTACTACTGTCAGTGTCGAGGCCTGACTATTCAGGCTACGGATGGAGAAAGTCCTGTTCCTGATGTGATAGGCTTGAGGAAGGATGTAGCTAATTGCATAGATAACCTCTCACCAGCTGGATGTGATTACAACGTTCTCACACACCCCATCTCTCAAGACCTGGGCTTGGACTGACTGCACACAAACCGACAGGACTTGAAAGAAATATTGGGGCTACAGAGAATCGAGTGACCTTTTTCCCATTACAGGCATCACCATTAAGTCTCCTTCAAACTCACATCTTTATGTGTTCACATGCAGAATAATGTAAAACCTATCAAAGCCACAACCAGAAATTCTATCTGTCTTATTAATAATACATCAAACATCATTTTAAATATTTAGCTTTGCTAGCTGTATTTATAGAGCTGTCCTGTGAATGTTCAGATAACAATCAGATTAACATATGGTTATTACTGAAAGGTCAATTGATACCTTAATATGAAAGGTGGCAAAATATTAGCTGTTTTTGCATAACCAGTATTGGTTTTAAAACTCATAATTACTCTTGCATAAAATATGAAAAGTCATATAGTTCACTCAAGATAAAAGCAATATGGGATTAAAAACTGAGAAAGGAAGTCAAGGGGTCCTTCTCACACTCAGGTGAAGTACAGAAGATGAAGGGGCTCACTCATTCACTTATTTCATAAAAAAATCTTTTTAATTGCAAAATCAGCTATATATCAAATGCCCTTGTATTTTTGTCACATACATGATCTGACTGAAAATTAGATGTGGCACATGGCAAAATGCCCTTAAATACGAGCTTGTAGGATTTTTGATGAGCAAGTGCAAATATACTTCTTGATAATAATGATTAGAGGTGACAATGTGTGACCAGGCTGACTGTGCTGTTATACATGACAACTCATATGACAACACCAGCCACTGGTTTTCCTAGCCCAAACAGGCCAGCCACTCTAGTGAAGCTGAACTACAGCTGACAGTAGTGTAAAACAACATTTCCTGACTGATAGGAACTTTTATGTTATATATTAGGTTAACTAAAAGCAGGTGAACAACTGACTGCTGTATCCCATAGACCCATCGGTCTTGCAGCCATTTTACCATGTAGACACATGATTGATTTTCTAAGAAACGCTGACAAAGAGAATATACAAACCCAGATTCAACATTCAACATTTGTCTGTTGCCAGTGACAACTTGCAAATATTGAGTATCATATGGCAAATTACTATTGATTTTATAATGTATCACAGAAACACATCTCAACATGTGGACAAAATAGAAGCCCTCTGCCGTTGGTGTCAATCATCCGCATTTGAAAAGACACCTACTAATGATATCAGGCACTATACTGGAGTAAAGGGTTGAAAGAATTACCTATCTCATATCACTAACAAGCTTACAGGTATACACTTTCTTCATATCGCATCTAGTCTTCTCTTAAAACTGGATGCTAAATGAATTATTAATGTACTTTCAATTAATCACACTGACATATTTTGACAGTTAACGAGCAGTAAAAACATCAAATGCTATTAAACCATGTCACCAATTCATCTCACTCATAAACATTTTGAATCATATCCTGGTGATTGATAATGCCTGTATCACGCATGTCATGTATACTTCATCATTTTATTCAATATGTTTTTCAAGTACAATATGTATATTTCCCAACATCTCTTATTTTTATGACATCTCCATACAAGGCTGTGAAGACACAATGAGACATCAACTCAACTGCTATACTTAGAATGCTTAGTCAAAAGCTTTCATCAACAAGTGAAGTACAACTTGAATTACAGACGAGAAATATTTCTTTTCATCCACCAATTGTAACAGTTGTTATACATGTATCAAGCATAGTGATCAGACAGTATTATTTCTTTCGGACTTAACAAATATATGAACAAAACATCTAGGTTCCGAAATGACGTAATTCACTACTAAACAAAACACTCACCACAGGTTGAAAACAAACAATATTCCAGTTGTCATTTTAGGAGATGATTTGAGTATCTTGAATGGGAATATTCGCTCCAGTTTTAAAGATTGTCACCTCTTTACAATCAATAGGCTTCGTAATTGTCTCAAGTGATGAATCTGGCAACTGTTCCAAGTTGCTCCAAAACCAGCTGCAGAGTACTGTCTGTCTGCAGTGATCACAGATATCAACTTCCCACGATCAGTTAAGTGCAGGACCTCCTACAGCACTGTCAATTCCTTGAATGTAAAGTATAAACCAGGAAACTATCCTGCACTCCCTGTCACATTTCCGTCTGTTTTATCACACCATGTGTACGTTTCAGCGTGAGCCTGGCTCATGTGCTGGCCTATAGCAGCTGATAGCAGTGAAGTGTGACAGACGGGTCACTGTGGTAAGAATAGCCTGTTTACCTGTCTATTCACGGCCCTTGACTCAGATTAGCTGATGCGTGTGTCACCTGATCGTACCACGTGTGCGCTCACTAGGGACCTATGAAATCTACGTTCACATGTGGCCTGACCAAAACCGGGTCACCAACACAGAAGGATATCAACAAGCATTGTCAGTTACTAAACATACTGAAACGGGCTTCAGCCCGGCACATGCCTATCCTATTGTGAGGCGGGCTAGGTTTGGAATGGACCAGAATCGTGCTGGAGTTATCAGCTGGTCTGTGGTAGCGATGTGCACCATATGTAACAACAGTTACATCGCCTGTTGCATTGTCCCCTCTGTTTCATCACATGCTGCTCAATCTTGAGGTCTGCTTTGGTTTCATTGTTTAGAAGGAGAACCGCAAAAGTCACGGTTTTCACATTGTGAAGGGAATAGGTTCGTGAGAGGATATGACTCAACTAATACTGCTCAGATGTTTAACTCTCCAAAGAGATTCCACACAAAGAAATAAGCCACACAACAAATGCATAAATGTGTTAAAACTGAGTTAAGCCAGTGCACATGATTACAGGTGCATATGGCATGACTTTATCAGGAAAAACTTATTACATGCCTAACTATTAGATAATGTAAATACTATCTCTCTATAACATTAAGTGCTTCCAATGCTAGTGAAGTTTATTTAATGAATGAGTATAATTAGCTATGACAAAGACAAATTAACTGATATATTTAGAAGTTTAAGTAACCTATAATAAATAAACAAATATACAAATCAATGATCTAATAAAATGAGCTAAAAAAACAACCTTATTCTTTATATCATTCTGTTGATCAAAACATAAAAGAAAACAAATGTACAATGTAACAAGCTATAGATATGTACACAGGGGTAAATCTAGACTTATTGAAAGGCTGACATTCAGTTCAAAGTCCTAATCAAATTTGAATTTTTTACAAACTGAAATTCAAGTTTCCAATTAGAACAAAAGATAATGCTTCTTTAAGATGATCTGTTAATCACTGATCATGATCTGGGGCTAATAAAAAGAAAGATTTTTAATGTTAAGTTTTATATCACTGCACTGAATGTAGTGTTAAAATATTTGGTTATTCAAGAAATTGACACTATTAACAAAATTCACAAAATAATGGTTTCTTCAGTTTGCCTGCCAAGGACATTTTGTACAAAAGCCTAAATAATTGTTGATACTACTCCAGTGTTCTGACAAGAAACAGGACAAGTGGAGACATGGATCCCGTTCGTGAAAATGCATGGTGCCACTTTTAAAACCTATGGAGCCACACTCTGAGGGAACATATATGCATTACACTGGAAATACAGCAACTTTCGCATGGATTCTTTCTCATGTAACATATTGCAGCAGCAATAACAGTCCATATCTTATATATAGCTTGAACAGCTTGTAGGTGATCACATCATTTAGCTCGTCTCTTAAAGTAAAACAGAACTTAGTCTTGGCATCTATTTATATTTCACACAATTAAAGCTGATGTCATAGTATTTCTTTATGGATTTTGCTGCAACCAAATGTTGTCATGCAGAAAGGTTTGTCAAAAATGTCCTTTTCCTTGGTCACAGACACTGTGTGTATTGCTAACAACAGGTGTATGGTATTAAGGCTACAACCCGATATGAAATACAAGTCATTACATAATCACAATATGTTTGGAACACAATGCTACACTGCATCTAAAAATCATGCATATTCTCATCTTGCTCAAAAAGATTATGGGAGAACAAGTGACTAGTCAAATTGAAATCGAAAGTGTATGAAACAAACAACTGTCTCCTGTGATCAAAATATCTGTAACTATTGGTGCCCAGTTTCCTGTTAATGAAGTGTATACTACCTTATCTGTTGTGACATAGCAACAGCCAACAGAATATCAAGTTGTCAAATATGTGAGGGGGAAGTTTTTCAGTTTAGGTTCATAACAACTTACAAACGAAAGAACACATGTAATATGTACTTTGTGTCCTAATACATGATCAAATCAATATTGCAATGCATTACAAAATGAAATTCACATTGACACCCCTATTTTCGCTATAACTTGTAGGTGACCATTTGAAGGAAAAATGTCTTTGGTATCTTCAGAAATTAGACTATTATAATTGCCAGAAGAAGACAAAGTCATCAATATCCCCTGCAATGGCAAACTACTCTTCATGAATATGTCTATGAGTTATGATTATGTCAAATGTTTTGGTGTGTATACAAAAAGTGGAAGGAGAGTATTGAAAGGTTTTAAAAGTTCTGCTCTAGAGCGAAGCACTACCACCAGTTTCAGTCTTAGTCAAACTTGTTGGCATGGAAATGCAAAGATATTTTATTCAGAAATCCAAAACTACCAAAAGGCACCAGTACACCACTAGACCAATCTATGCGCCAAGTTTGGTGAAGAAATAGCGAATGGTTTTAGAGCTCTGCTCTGGAAAAGAGCACAACCACCAATTTCAATCATTTTCAATCAATTTCAAAGTCAAACTTGTTGCCATGGAAACGCAAAAAACCCATTTTATTCAGAATTCCAAAACTACCAAAAGGCACCAGGACACCACCAGATGTATGTATGTGCCAAGTTTGGTGAAGAAACATTGAACGGTTTTAGAGTTCTGCTCCGGAAAAGAGCACTACCACCAATTTCAAGCTAAGTCAAACTTGTTGCCATGGAAACGCCAAAAATATTTTATCCAGAAATCCAAAACTACCAAAAGGCACCAGTACACCACCAGATCTATCCATGTGCTAAGTTTGGTGAAGAAATATTGAACCGTTTTAAAGTTCTGCTCCGGAAAAGACAAGTGTGCACGGATGCACAGACGGAGTCCATTTTAAAACACACACACAGACACACACACACACACACACACGCAAAACATGTTGCGGGGATAAAAATAAAACAGTAAAAAACACTGACCAGATCAGTGATTTTTATCCAGCCTGAGGCGCTAACAGTTAATTTGGACAAATTAGGCAGAGAAAGTCAGGATGGTTTACATTCAGGAATTGAAACACATGGCTGAGCGATATAAAATATTTTTGAGACAGTCATATGCCTTGGCAGAACACTGCTACACAAAATAAGAAATATATTAGTTCTACCCCTAACTATATTACTTCTATCCCTAAGTATCAGTTTATTTCATGGTGGACTGACTCTTACAAGCATGCAAGCAAGTATTGTTTTCTGCTGTTTTAGCAATATTTTAGCAACACCACATCAGGTTGTGCCAGAAATGAGGTTTACGCATTGTACCCATGTTAAGAGTGGAATGGAATGTCATGATGAGCTAATGCTGTAACCAATAAGCACCACAGTTGCCCCGGTATTAAGATAACGAGGCAAAAACTGAATACATTTAACTGACGCACAACCATTCTAAACAGTACCATCAAATTTCAATCCTATTATGACTGTAACCCTCCATATGTTTCTATTCCTAACAATGTGTACTGTCAGGTAACTTACTTTCACGACGGATGATTAAACACATACAGTAATAACATTACCAGTAATAACATGATACTGCACGCATCAGAATTCTCTACAAAACACACTGGGCATTTCCCAAAGAACATCGGCTATCAAGGCATATCTAACTTAATACATGAAATTCTTGGGTAGTAAAAGAACAGGCTACCGGGTCTGAATAGCCATAATATATTCCTAATCGCTCCAGGCAAAACCTCTAATACAAGAATAAAAAAAAGATGAAAAAACAGCACCATAGAGTCAATACCCAAATCAAATTTATTGCTTTTGCGAATTTGGACATAACAATTCAACCTTAAGGCACCAATAGCTCATTACGTTATTCCGCTACATGAATGCTTTATGTATGGAAAGCTTCCAGTTCCAGTGTTGCATAACAAAGTACGTTCAGCAATGCTGTATAACGAGCATAAAGGCCAGATTTGTGGTGGAAGCCTAACCCCAGATATAGTTCTCCCTAAATCGGCTAACATGAAGTAATGACATTAGCTGGTTGTATAATCCAATGTCAGAAGATGTTTCCCTGTTCAATCTTGTAGACTCCAACAGAGATCCACCTCTCTCAACCCAGGCCTACACAAACATTATTGATTAGCCACGATCACAGAATATCCCTAAATGCACTCAAAGTAGGCTGAAAAAAATGTGCCTGTTATTTTGCTTCCAATCAACCAAACTGGAAACGATAACCACACGTTTCCTGGCTGTGATACCAAGCAATCAAGCCATTGAGGCGCAGGTCAATCACCTGATGTTAGAAGCCACTGTAATCAACACCACCTGTGTCATCTGTCACACAGTAACACATCACCCTGTGAAGACACATGTCTTTCAAACAACATTGTAACAATGGAGATGGACAGGGCTAATTGACCTAAAAGGTCAACACGATAGCTGCTGTAGGTGCAGTGAGGTGAGGTGAAATGGGAATTAATGCTGTATTTAAGATTGTTCAACTCATATGTCTGTGTGCCTGTATAAATCACAACTTTTGTAATATAGACAAACTTTATGGATAACAACTTCTTTTATTTTGTGAGTGCGATGTTTCAATACAGATTCTTGTACCATTGTCAACATTTGCAGCTTACTGCTAGCCCACTGAGATAACAAGCTGCAGTTTAACTTGGATACCCATCTCAGGTAGATCATAGTGACTCCTTGTTTTATCTTCTTATACCAGAGTCAGGCGGCAGTAAAACAAATACCCTATATTAACCTCTCTCAGTATGACGTGGAAAGTGATCAAACCTTTGACCTACTGCTCTGCCATACGCTCTTTCCACAAAACCAGCGAGGCAGTGGGTGAGTTAGCAAGTTTAATGCTGGTATGCACAGTATTTTAGTGTGTGTCAACATAATGTAGGAGGAACAGCCGATTAAGTGATGCAGACGTTTATCACTTTAGGGGAACATGACTATTATGGTGATGACTTATCATGGATCGCAAAAAGGTCCAATTTATTATTTGAACCCCATCA